ACAGGGCTGACAGAACGGAAAGATGGTGATTCTGGATCTGTCAAACAGCATGCTGCAGGAGATGAAGATGTGCAACAGTAAAATGAATTGGTTGAAAGAGGCATTTGAGAGACGCTTCCAACTCTAAGGAAAACGGAGACCGTCTGAAAGCTGAGCTTACTCAAAATCCCGAGGAAATTAGAGACACCTTGGATCTGGAGATGAACCATGTGACTGCAAACATTGGACAAATGGAGGCTAAGACTGATTGGGTGAAAGATAAAGCCAACACCAGGTGGCTATATCAACTAAAATAGTTTTATGTAAAAAAAAATGGTGTAATGGTTGCTTCCTCCTGTAGCCGTAGATAGAAAGATAGATGCATAGATATATAGACAAATGGTTGCATTGTACAGATATGTACCGAACACACAGGGAGGAAAACTGCAACAAACCCTGTTAAACCAGTGTGATATCTAAACAGTGTTTGAATAAGGCTGTCCTCTCTCCTGAGGATCTGACATGTAGGAAAAACAGCATTTTCAAGCGACAGCAATCAAATGTGAGGACACAACATTATTACACAACCCTGAAGTGAACAGTATGAAGCGTGGTCTGTCTGTGTGTGTGTGTGTGTGTGTGTGTGTGTGTGTGTGTGTGTGTGTGTGTGTTGGGGTGGGGTGGGGGGGGCAGGCTATCACAGCGTACCAAATATAGAAGTCCCTTGGTCTCTGGAGAGGCCATCAGGAGTCTCCTTTCTCCTTTCACTCTGCCCACTCCAGTTGATGAACCAGCCGCAAAGGAGGGGGGGAGAGGGTTGGAGGGGTGGGTGGGTGTGTGTGTGTGTGTGTGTGGGTGTGTGTGTGTGTGGGGGGGGGAGCTTTGTTCTTCCACTGGCTGAGAAGAAACATGATGTGAATTTAAAATGGCTTTGCTGTAAACAAGTGCTTATGCTGCTATTAGACATGCAGATGTAAAAAAAAGGAAAAAAAAGAACTGCTATTCACACAAGACATCACAAGCTCACAGACGGTTGTTGTGGCGCAGGTCTGTGCCAATTCTGTATCACGAGTAAAAATAATAATAAGGATTGTAAACTGATGTTTTGATATAGTGAAGAGTCATTCAGAAAACCTTTATCCCCACTGATCGCCTAATAAAATCTGTATTCGAGGGTTGAATAGACGTGCAGGGCATCTAGAAAGTATTCAGTCAATTTGTTTTTACATTATTATTTTGCAGTCTTACGTTGAAATTATTTAATTCATTCATCAATGTACAATGCCAGCTAGCTGCTAGCTAATGCTAATAATACTAATGCTAGGGGGAGGTGGCTAGCTTGCCCCCAGTGGGCCATGAGCCGAGCCTGCAAGCTGGCTGCCCGAGCGGCTTAGTCCCCCGACACCTATAAAGGCTTAAATTAGGGTCAAAATTATTTTCAGCTTGTAAAGTAACATTTAAAAATAATGCTGAATTTTGTAGTTGTAAATGTGGGGGGGGGGGAAATCATGTGGGAAAAAAAATTGTGCTTGTGGTAAGGTTTGTATTTGTTAAAAGAGAGAGCCTGTGTGAATCAAAACTGAACAAATGATCAGTGGTGAGGTTACACAACGACACAGGGAGAAGAAGAAACGCTTTTGTGGACGTCTGTGTACAGACACTGAGCAGAAAACTGTGAAACTCAGCGTGAAACATTCACAGTGGATCATAAAATGGATTTATTTTTCCAGCAGTGATTTGTAACAGTGTTGGTGGGCACACACAGATGATGTCATCCTGCTGTTGTGATATGGCTGTAAGAGCAGAAAACACTTATATGTGTTGTTCTGGAGGGCAACGACTAATGGCGTATTTTGACATTTAATTTAGAGGACTTAGCTTATAGGCAAACAACATTGGCTTTGTTTAAACATGACCATGACTTTTCCCTGAACTTTACCAAGTTGTTTTAGTGTCTAAACCTAACCAAGTCTTGAATATGAATATGAATACAGTTCTAGTTCATTTGTCCTTTCCACGGTGCTCTGTTGTGTATGGAATCATAATTTGATGTACAAGGGACAGAATGTCACACTTTTGATTATCTTCATGTGTATGTTTGATGATATTGAATAAATCAACTAAAGTGTTTTGCCAAAAATCCAGCGAAACTGTCAAACCCCTCCCCTAAACATAGTATATGATCATAGATGGCGTAGCGGCGAAAACACAATACAAAAGATGAATACAGCATTCCCTACATAACTTTGACGCTCGCAGCCACTGAAGAGGTTTCTGTCTCAGCTGTGAACTTATCCCGGTGAATGGCGGGCCAGAAGTTCCCAGCAGTGCGATGTGGGGTGTTTGGGTGTGAAGGGCCTTTGTGCAGAGAGCCCGAGGGCACCGGAGCGTGGCTCTTTTTAGGGTTTGATTTATAATTGAAAGCTGTGTTTACATCCGCTCTCCAGCCCTCCATACAGCACAGAGTGCCTGATGAAGGAGGAACCAGAAACTGAACCCATTAAAATAGGATTTTTTTTTTTTTTTTTTTTTAGGGAACTTGGTCATAGAGCAAGGTGTTTACATTGGGTTGTACATCACTGTGTACACTAGTGGTGCTCTGAAAGGACGGAGAGGAAATGTTAAATCACCTCTGACAGCTGGGAAATTGACCATGTCTTGGCTCTAGCACTCGCACTGTGGGAAGTTGGGGAGACTATCAGAGCTGAGATGGTGTGATGGTGGAAGCTAATGAGCAGTCATTACAGTTGGTCAACTTTCATGTGCAATTACATACACATACCGGCCATTGAGGAACATGTTGGGTACAACATGACTGTGATGCTGACAAATTTGTAAATATCAACATAAGAAACAGCATGATAGGTTAACAGAAATGGAAAATACATGTGCAGTTTTGTATTATAGATCACCAACGTGATGAGTTGGGTGTCTGTGTGGGCCGGGGATAAATTTAAATCTTGCAACCAAAAAAAATATTCCTGCTTTTCTTTTCGCTTGTGCGACTCTGGTTCAGGATACAGTCAAATAACTTTTATACCATGTTGTTTTCACTGTTAAATGGAAATATCAGTTCATAATTTAAAAAAACAACTGTTGCACATACTGTATGCTGGTTCAGAAACTTGCAGTAAATATTTACAAAGACAACAAATTCTGCTAGAAAACAGAATCCAAAGACTCGGATCTTTGTTGTCATCACGACACTGGTTCTTTCATTCAGAGAAACACAAATTACAAACTCCTTCTAATGGATGAAAAAGAAAAAAAAATCCCTCACAGATGATTACACCCACCCTGAATGTTGCTATTTGCTAAGTGAAATGCTCCAGATTGCTAATTAGTGAAAATAATATTCAGTACTTTGACTTTCATGCTGGCAATCACTTGCTGTGAGTGGGCGTCACCTTTGTTTTCCCAATTCGTCTTGATGTGGAATGGCTTCCTTTGGAATTAAAGGAGTTATATTTTGATTATGTGACTTCTAACTTTGTTGGTTGATGATGCTTCTGCAATTCATAGGAGTAATACCATAACCAGTTGGAGAGCAAACATTCACCCAATGCCCGTAGTCTACTTTCATGTTATTACCTCATATTGAACTGAAATCCATGCAACCTTGTAGGGCAGAGTGTTGGGTACTCATGTCAGACAGAAGTCAGCTAATAAATAATGAACAACCCCACTGGCAAATAACCCATATTTCCTGGAAACCAGTGTTTTTTTCCCCCACCAAGTCTTAATTCAACAAAACCAATCGCCGCCTCCCCGGCTATGCAAATAGTGATCCATGTATGAGATTATAAAGTATTCATGCAGCTCAGTCAAACTCTGCCAGCGCCATTGCCTGTTCCGCTATGTGGAGACACTCATGGTGAATGGTTAAACTAGATGGATGCTTGTCTAATTTATAACTCTCCCTGACTCTCCCCCCCCCTCTCTCTTAACTGTCCCTCTTTAACTGCAGTAAGCTCTCTAAGTTAGCATAAATTTACTCAGTACAACATTCACCACGCTGTGACCCGGACTCTGGACCCACCCGGAGGCTCCTGGAAATATTGCATTTAATTAAATCGTGTTATTGCACAAATATTATTTATTTAAATTCGGCACTAAATTGTCTCTAAACCATGTAATGGCTTTCCAGCTGCTTTGAAAGCCTCGGCAGTGCCATTAGAGGCTAATTCAGAAAACCTCCATCTGAGTTCTACCCAGAACACAACGCTGATTCTCCTCATTTAAGATGCTTGCTGGAACAGTGAATCTCAGACATTATAGCCACTTAGAGCAAGATTGCTGATGTTCGTAAATAGAGGGGGGAAAAAAAAAAGATTGACTGGGGGCAATTTCCTGAATAATGCTTTATTTATTTCATTGTAAACACTGACATTGGGGTCTGAAAGTAAACAACACAAGATGGACGAGAGGGAGCGTGTGTTAGAGCAGGACAGCTGTGGATCACCTACCTTATAATGAATAAATCAGACAATTCAAAAGGTTGATTGTCCTGTTTGTATCAAAAGAAAATGTTTTACTAGTGTTTTCTCGGCGGCCCTGTGGTGCAGTAATAACGTTAAAGTTCTTAAAATAGGTGGCATTTTCCTTTAAAGGATTGCCTTGTCAAACCAAGTTCAATGTCGTGAGAGTCTATTCTTTTCAAAAGCAGAGTGCGCCATCAAGTGGTTACTCTGTGCTCTACATCTAGTCATTTGCTTTTTGTTGCTTTGGTTGTGAGAAGTCATCGTCTTTGGGATTTTCTCAGTAATACAAACAAGTGAATTTTTGAAACTTTAATGTGTTTAATTGTTTTGCTTTGTCATTCAGTTGCCATATAATAACCTGAAGGATAAAGAAGATGAACTGTGTATGAACAATTTAACTGTACATGTCACAGCATGTTGTTTAACTTGGAAATACTGTAACACATATCACTAATTAGTATTAATGACTTTGAATCAAACTTTGTGGAAGAGAGAGATAAAAAATATTTTATTCTAGTTTTTTTTTTTCATTGAGTCAACTAAGAAAAATAAGTAGTTTAGTTTTGGTTGGAAGTATTTAATACTATTGGTTAACACAAACTAAAATCACACACCAACATGTTTAGATTTTGTTATCACATTCAACATTACCGCTTTCCTTCTGGTAGGAGATTTCCACCACACTCCGAAGCTCTGTCTTGATGCTGCAGCGGTCTGCTCTCAGTCTGACGTGATCCAGGATTTCTCTGAGGTCTTCGGCTCTTGTTTTCCTGCTGATCAGAAGGATGGAGCAGCCGGAGGGGCAGAGGAGCTCTTCTCTCTCCAGAGCCAGCAGGTCTGGAAGGTACTGCTGGGGATCGTGGTCCATTAGCACCAGGTTGAAGCCTTCACTGGTCTTTTGATCAGGCTCCAGAAATGAATGCAATGTTGGTATGGCCTCTGCTGAGCTAGACGTCAACACCTGGAACTGAAGAGGATCAGAAAAGTGGAGGAAAGCAGGTTAAAATCTCTCAGTGAGATGTTGGTTTCCTGTTTAGGATCATTTCCTGTTTGTGTTTGCCACACTATCTTTTCATTAGGCTGTGGTGATCATCCCCGGTTGTACCTGAGAGTGTTTGAAGCCGGCCACCAGTATGATTTCCTCTCCTAGCTCTGCTGTGAGTGGGTCCAGCTCCACTGTGATCAGCCTGCCAGCAGGGGGCAGCAGGCGCAGCAGGCGGACTGAAGTGTAGCCACAGTGCATCCCCAGCTCCAACACCCGGGAGGGACGGACACGCCTCACCACTTCATCCAACACCTCGCCTGAATCGACAAAAACAAGCCTGAGGTTAATTTCTCTGTTGGCTTAGACTAGAAGAGTGTGGTTGTCATCTTGCATCATAAATAGATGCCGCTGTGCGATGGATGTGGAATTTGGAGCAGTATACGATGTATAATGCGTCTTTCCTGACAAAACACTGGACTGACTCACTTCTTATGTTCCATTGTGGTAAAACTTTCCATACTCATTTTGTGTTTGTGACTAATTACTGATCTGAAATGTCAACAAGATTGATTATTTAATTTAAAGGTAAGGGTTATTAAACAGCGAGGAGTGGATGACACAATGAAGAATACAGGTTGATATACTGTGAACACGGGAGCAGCAGTTTCCTCATCTAACGATTTTCTACCAAACTGCTTGTGGGCAGAACAAAGTAATTAGAATAAATCACAGAATTGTCAGTATTATTAATATTATTGATATCATGCTTGGAGGTTAAGACCGATGGAGATGGAAAAAAATGTCTAATGTAGAGTCACTTTTCAGTCGCTGTCGTTAAAGCAAATCTCCATAGTTCCAGATTAATGATTTGTGGCTTTTTCATGAAGCATCTTTAAATGATCATTTTTCTTTTACCTTAATTTTAACATATAGCCACTGCACACATTACCACTGCTGTTCTAAACACTGCATGGGAAAACAAAGGAACGAATGGACAGTCAGTGTGAGCAGTCTGAGTTCAGCAACACTAGATAAAAAGGAAAAGGACAGAGCGCCACTTTCAGGAAGCTTCGTCAACAGCAAATCACTAATATCAGCAACATTAGTTTCATCTGTGCTACTCCTTTAATCATGTCCCTGCAGCAGAGATGGTCACATGATTCCACTTGATTTTGTTTCTCAGTAATTTTACAACTGTCTTAGTAGCTATTTAACATTGGTAGGACACTGAACAGTTAAATAATACAATAAAGATTCCAGGGCTAACTCACCAGTCTCTGGACCAATGCATAAAGAGGGGTGTGTTTCAGCATAAAGGTCAAAGGTCTCCAGGACACTGTCAACTTTGCCGTGGGTGCATTCTGAGAACACAAAGGCGTGGGTGCTCCTCACACACACTCTCCCTCGCACCAACCTCAGTGCCCAGGCCAGAGCTCGATGCCACAGCATGGAAACCTTGTCACGACAACGGCCAGATACCACAATGATGATGACGGCAGAGAGCAGCGGGACAGAAACAGCAATCAGCCACATTTGAATGAGCTGAGTCAGAAACCTCAAAACCTGTGGATTAAACAGAGAGAAGCTGAGATCAGTTTGTGGAAATCAGGCATTTGATTGGGTTCAAATGCCTCTTTCAGTGTGACATATTGGTTATCATTTGATTTTAGCAAGTACCATTTTGATAATCAATTTCAGCTTATTGATTCTGGTTCCTGTTCAATCCAACCTCTGATTCTTGGAATATTATTTCAGCAAGAAAACCATCTTTATTTTAAGCAGATTAATGCTGCCATAAATGATCAGGTATATTACAGTTCTTCTCACAGTTTTACATTTCTTTTTAGCTGATTTGGACAGGCATATAGCAACAGTTGATACTGGGTAAACACAAAGCTTAAATTGTCAAAACACCTGTTAGAGTGTTGTAATATTTTACTATTTGTTTGTAGAAAAATTAGAAAAACATTGGCCTCTGGCACCCTCTGCTGGCTAAATCTTATCAGTTGTTTCTGTCAGTCAAACACTACAGCAAGGGCTCTCCTTGAATGAGAAAAAACCTGCAGACTCTCAACCATACTTTTGAGCGATTAGCCACTCTGTTTTTACATGTAATAAAGTGTAATAAATGCATGACAATACATCACACCAAGAGTTTGCCAAATTTTGTTTCATTTGCATTTTCCTTTGCATATTAAAACATTGTTTTGCGAGATGAATATAAATCTTTTTGGTTCCATAAGTTAATAGTTTCACAGGCACCTGGGACCATAAACAACCAAGAGCATACTTTTGGTATCAAACCAAACATGACACAATGGAACAAGCTTGTTTCAAAAAATCAAAACAGACTCTTAACTGGATCTTGAAATAAATATAAAAATAGCTTTTATAACTTTGTCACAATGTTTGTATTAATAAACATGTGTAGTTAATAGTGTTTAGATACTCTTGGTATTCTAATAGCTTACCAAACCATTTTAACAAATAAAGAAAATTGACACAGAAGTAATAACACAATGGTAGTGGTACTTGCCAAGCTGCTCGTCAAGGTTCAGAGTGTGTCCTGTCAAACACAGGTGGGACTATCACTCCGGTAAGTCAAGCATGTAACCAACACATGATATCAGCAGGACTGCTGAAGAACAAACCATGATTTTCTCTTTGACACAGAGAAACCTGCAGGAGAAAAATCAATGTGAAGGAAAACCACACTAAACTGTTTGTAGTATCCAGGAAGTGGACGCCTGAGAGACAGGAGAGAGGTGTGGCAACTGCTGGATACACACAGTAGTCCTGTGTTGGAAAGCTCCTCCTGCTGCTGCTTTTCAGTAGTGCTGCATTTTTCCCCAAGAGGTCAGCAAAGATGCAAGAATATCAGCAACCCTGTGGGCAATACTGGGTGTCTGCATGCCCTGGAAACGTATTGAGTCGCATCATCTAACCTAAAGGCTTCCTAAGATATAGAAGGAGATATCAACTAATAGCCAATGGCCATTAGAGGAATTTTCTGATGCAAATAGCTACTAAAAAATAGGATGGCAAATCAAAAAAGGTTTTCCCATCTTGACCAGAAAAGCCTGTAAAGATTTCCAAGTTAACAATGTCATTATTAATCTTCTTGTATAGGTCTGGTGGAGTGTAACCCAGCTGAACTTAGTTTGCCAAACTTTTTAGCAGCTTAATTACTTTTCTTTTCAGAACAACAAAAACCACAGAAACCATAATTTAGACCGATACCAGAATCAAACTTATGAAAGTATGAAAATACATTGATTGACAAATATAAATACATTTTCTAATTAGTATCATTTAGTTAATTGTTATCTGCCACAATAAGTAGAGGTCACGGGTGAACCTCAGCTTTGTGTGCCTTTGCTGTAAATCAGTGAACTCTCTGCTCTGTCGCTTGCCCCATATAGTGAAAGTGGGTGTGAGATCCCCAGTGTGTCGCTGCCCTCATTGGCTGGTGGTGGAGCGGCGCTGCTCTGTGTATTTTTGGCCATTGAAGCGAATCATACTGCGGTGTGCAGGTCATGTCAGTCCGGCTGTGTCAAGTTAGCCAACAACTGCTGGATTACTACCAGCATGAGCGCGGGTTTACAACCAAAATAAGAGCCTTAAATATGGCCGGAGGAATGAAAGCCAATGGCCAGCCAAAAAATGACATTCAAAAATTCATATAGTATTCGTATAGTTTAAAAGACAGAAACTGTAACGACGGTAGCCCACTGACATTATTAGCACCGCAGTAACCCAGCTCACGTTATGAGCTGTAGCTAAATTAGCCTAAACAAGCTAACGTTAGCCTCTGTGAACGTTGTGTGTGGAGTTGCTACAAGAGATGACAGCTACTGCAGTTCACAACCAATGATGGTAACATTTCAGGACATGACCAATGTTGTTATTATAAAGATAACTGAAACTCACTCACCCTGAATTATGTGTATTGATCCGGTTTCCTGTTGATAAGTTTGAGGTGTGTTCACCTTTCATTTGAAATGCTCTTTGGCACCCTTTGCATACTGGCTTTTGGTTGTCTTAAACTTGTCCCTTGTGATCTGTGTCACAAGTGTAAAAATATCCATACATCTGCGTGTTTTCTTTTTTCTTTTTCTTTTCTTTTATTCTCTTTATATATTTTTTGGTTGGACCGGCCACGGGCCAGATAGTTACATCCGAGAACGTCCGCGCGCAAAACGCTTGTATTTTTTTCCTCCCATTAAAACAAGTCGTACGACAGTGGGCGTGGTTTCATATACACTAGGTTTGCACGTGACTGACTAACTGACTAATGGAGTCACACCATTGGTCGGTCAAATACTGGACTTTTCCGATTGGCCGTTGCTCATTCAAAAATGTTTTGGCGCGAAGAGTTTCTATGACGCACTTGGAGGGCGTTAACGGATCTAAAACAGTTTTACCTTACTTACAGGGTTGACTAGTGCCTTTATTCCCCTAAACTGCAGAAGGTAACCGGCCTTTATTTGAGACATGCTTGTATGAAAAGACACGTTAAATTTACTGTATTACGCATTAATATGAACCAAACAAGTCCCGTAACTGTTTCAAATTAAAAGCCCAAGAGATGTCAGAGCCCTCCGTTTCAGTGGACAGACACTTTATTTCTCAACAGGGCTCTTATTGCTCTACTGAGGTGCGTATTGTCTCATTTCCAGTTGCTAGCCATTGTAATGTTTACATGCTAATCAAATCTGCTAGTTTCTTTAGCATACCAGTTACAACGGCTTCTATGTCTCTCTCCCTCGCGCTCTCTGTTGCTCGGTGTGCCTTATGTTTACGCCTCCCTTAGCGTTTGTGGTACATGTAATAAATGTAGTTATTCATTTTACTTGGAAGCAGGCGAGCGGCTCGGGTTGCCTCGGTGAGGGTTCATCACACATTTGAGCTCAGTCCTTGACCATGTACGCAGACTGGAACAGGGGGAGGGTGTAAAAGGCCTCTCTCGAGCCTCATAGGACTAGTGTTTTACCTAGTGTTGTTTTCCATAAGTCGCGGTACACCTGTTGCTGCATCCGCACTTGTGGCCGCCTTTCCACGTGTTGTTATCGTGCACTGTACTTTCCTTCTTCTCTTCCAGTGTGATATCTGCCTGGGAAGCTTGTAGAGTTATACTGGCTTCATCTCCATTACCTAGTGTATACTGCAATACCAAGTGTTACTTTAAATTTGTTTAAAAATGGGCCCAGAGAGCAGAGTTTGCAGCTTTAAACAAGACAGAATGAGGCAGGTTGCTGCACAGGAAAAAGAAATGTGAAACAGGAATCAGGTTTACATTTGAAATTGTCTTGAAAATATATTGGAATATTCTTACTGCACTCTCAGATTTTCACTTTAATTAAAAACAATAAGAGGGATACTTGGTGCACTCAACAATGGATTATATTTAAGAAGACGATCATATGTTTTGTATGAAAAATATTACAAGCTACACTAGCCTAACTCAAGCTGTCACATAAATGTAGGTACAGGAATATAAAGTGCAACGTTTGCCTTGTTTAAGTAGAAGTTTTGTGTAGCTCAAAATAATACTTCAGAACCGTACTGGAAAAATGTATGTTCCTTTTATTCTTTTGTACTACCTTTCTATGTTTTTGTTGAAAACTGTTGTTTGTTATTGCACTTTTATGTATTATATTGCCCCTTATGGCTGCTATAATAATAATAATCATGATAATAATTATGATTATTATTAATAAGTAATAAATAATGTTTGTTAATTAATGATAATCACTAATAATATTATAATAATCATAATAATAATTGTGATTATTATTATTAGTAGTAGTAGCAGCATTAGTATTATTATTAATATAATGTTATATTTGAATGCCCTCAATAATGCAGGATGGTCCGCCATAAAAACTTTTATTTTGAACGCTCATACAGGAAGCCGTGTACGTGCCTCTGGCTGACTTGACGCTGGTTGTGTGCCCACAGACGCCGACAGGAGCGACACCGGAGAGCAGCAACTGGTTCGTGTGCCTCGCCGGTGCTGCTGCTGCTGCTGCTGCTGCAACACCTACAACCGACGGAGGAGGAGAGCGGGCTGACTGACACGGTTCACGGCTAATTTCGGTGGAATACCGCGGCTCTGAGCTGCTTTTACACATTTTTTTTTTTACAGGCTTTAATACTTGAAGACCTGAGCTTCTACGCCAATGGCAAGTCCGGTTGCAGACATAGGACAGTCTCATCAGCATCACCCTGTGCCCGAGTCGGCCGCAGACTCCGCGTTTCAAGAGGCGCAGAAATGGATAGAGGTGAGTGACTGAGTACCAAATACTGTGTGAACTCCCCAGCACTCTGCTTCCCTTCCGCACAGGTGTTTTGTTGTAATTGTGTGGCCCTTAGTTACTGGTTTGCAACCTGTATCTGCAGCGCCGTCTCCTCTAAACGGCAGTTTGGGTTTTATTGCTTCGTCACCTGTTGAAAGGTGACTCAAACAGCAAATATCTGACTCAGATTCCGGCGAAAATCACAGTTTTATTCGTATGAAGTTCCTGAGATGGGTTACAATGTCGCTTGCAGGTGTGTTTGTGGCAAATATGCTGAATTTATTCGTGTTGTAATCTTTTTTAGTGTAACATTCCTCCATTAACTTGTGTCTTAGAAAGTCAGTACATAGTTAATATTACCCAGAAACAGAGAGCTACACATTTTTTACCTGTAATGACATAACCTAGCTGTCCTGCCATAATATTCCTAATAGGATAGTGCACATTTTTGTAGGGACCCTCCTGAATGTTGCAGCAGGCTTTCAGTTGTTTTTTGGTGAGGGCCATTGTACAGTAGCTGTGGCTACTGTGGGGCCTGGTGCATGTTTGGCTGAAAACAATGAATGCATCATGTGGAATGGATTTTTGCCTCATTGCGAGCCTGGTGAACAATCACACAAATGAGGTTTTGTTCTGGGAGAATTTCAATCACGACACTTGCCAGCCCCCATTGCATTTGACTTTGTCATCCTGCAGTGAGCTGTCCGCTGGTCAAACTGGCTGATTATCTCTGGCACGCTGGTAGAATGTAGTCTCCACTTTGTAGGTTTACATAAAGGCTTAAAAATCTGATTTTAAACCCACTGTGATTCAGTGTAGCAGGGGCATTGATAGGGATTATGGGGCCTCTGTAAAGGACCCCCCCCCCCTCAACAGGCAGTATATCTTTTCTATTTCCACTTATTTCCTTATATGTATTTTACTGTCATGCTGTGTTTTGTCACGAATGTCATCGCCCTGATTGTTGATAGACGTTTGATAAAGCACCGTGGAAAGCCTAAATTAACTAAGAGGTTCAAGACCCATTCACAAATGTCAGGTGTGTCACTTAATATAAATGTAAGATAAACCGCAGAATCAGGTTAAATACTTCAAATCAGGCATGTCTGACAAGTTTCCCTATGTAGCACCTGCGTTGACCAGCATGAATGGGTGAAATATAAGACAGTGGTGCTGGCTAAGCCATATTGTTGTCCCTGCATATCGCTATCAGCTGCATTTGTAGTGGTAGGATTGTTCCATCCACCATTTACCCATCTATTTTTAATGCATCAAATAGTCAGATTTCTCATTGCTACAACTTGACACGCTGCCTCTGTATTACCAAGAAGGCAGAGTCTGTAAAAACATATGTTTTCTTTATACATCTAGTTTAAGATTTGAGTTTATGGATATTTTCAACTCTTAAAATCTTCCTAGTAGCCTGAAGTGTGTTCATATGCAAGTATATTACATCTTAAAGTCGTGTTATGAATGACAGATCCTCCTTTAATGGTGTCAGAGGCCATTACCGGCCTATTTAGCAGCACCAAACTCCTGGGAGGCCCATATCACATCTTTTAAAAAAGTCACTACTGACCTAGAATCTCAGAGGCAGCTCGGGGCTGAGAGCTGAAAAGGTGGAAGGGAACTGATACCGCTCCTGTGTTGTTGTTCTTCTATCACCCTTTCCCCGTGGGGACTGATTTCATTACCTATACACACCTGGCGATGGTCCTTCAGTCACCTCAGGGAACCAGAGACAGGTCACTGGTTCCTTAATGAACAGATGAACAAAAAGCCTCAGTCAGCAACCCAGTGGCCAGGTTTTGACTGCTTATATTCAACTGCTGTGTCATATAAGGTGTCAGGACTTGAGGCTAGAGGTTAGAACAACAGGTCCTCTTGTTTGCCATCTATTGCAGGTGACTAATCCGAACATGCAAAGATACAGTGGAGACCTGTGTTTCTGGTGTTGTGCACATCGTCAGCCAATCACCTTGGTCAGACACTAACCATCCCCTGCCTTTGCCTGTCTTTTATTCTCATGTTTTTAGATTTGTGCTGTTTGCTTTTAACAATACTTGCACCTGTTAATCTTATATCTAATGTGTTATGGGAGAAACAAAGACTCATGTGCTTTATTAAAATACTTAATCAAGAAGACGTATAGCTCAAATAGAAGAAAACAATTGCATAGCATAGGCTTGTATTGCAAGGGCGTGTTTGATCACCTCCTGGTGATATTTTAGGGCCTGTTCATACCAAGTTTGCTTGGGGTGATTTTTTTTTTTCTATTAACTTTGAGGTTTGTTTTGTCAGGTGAGAATAATTTGAGCTCAGCTGTGCACTAACTGATCACACAGAGACCCGTAAGACTGCTGTTGAAAATCAGATTTATGCTTCTCTGTCGACATGTTCTGGTGGTCCTGCCACAGTTGCATCCGGGGTAGGATCTGATTTATAGTTCAGTGTAGTTTTTATCCTTTTCCTTGCTGTAGCACCACTGTAACGGTAAACGGACGTGTCCTGAATTACCAGGCTGACATGCATTTGTTATATATCAAAAGTAATCCTTGACACATGTTGCATCACGGACAAAGATGGGAGGTTTTGCACTGGAAATTACTTACAAATGAGAAGTAGGCTGTTTCCTTTGCCTCATGTTTGTCTTTCTTTCATTCATGAGATTGTTTGCACTTAAATGGCTTTGCTAGATGAGGAAACATAGATAGATTTAATATTACAGAGAAGGAAAAGTTTGCTGGATCTTCAAGTTTTGTTAATTTTTCTTCTTACAAAGCAGCAAGCTCTTATCGTCCAATTAAAAAATAGTCCTCTAAAATGTGTCACCATGGGAACCAAGCTCACACAAATAGCATTCAACGGCCCTATCTGTAAAGCCTTGATATGAAGCGTTCACACCTGCACTCGTTACTTCCTCTATGGCCGCTTCCTCTCACCTTGTCGTTAGTAACGCCGTGGCTAATGACGGTGTTAAGGCTCTTACGAACTTCAGAGGAGTCTGACTGGTCCTTTGATGAGTTGTGGAAAACCCTCAGTTGGTGAGCTTGATTGATTTGTGTCATGTAGCCACGGGGTGTTTTTGCATGGATGGAAACCCAAAGAGATGATCTAACTGGGTCTTTTCTCAGAACACACCTTGATGGTTTGATGAATTGGCTTTCTTCTCAGTTATGGTTGGGAACTGTTGTGCCGCTGGCAAATTCATATCAAAGCATAACTGTGAGACAATAACTCAGTCAGAGCTGAGTATTTTCATCACTCGCCTTGTTGTAATTAAAGACATTTCTGTAGGAAAAAACATTCCTGATGAATAGAAATGAAGTATGTATTGGAAGAAATGAAATAACTTTTAATTATGGAACAGAAAACTTGTAAATCCAGTTTCACATCCAGTGGGGTGTAATAAGATATTTTGTCAGTTTACATAAAGCCAAATACAAAAGATTAAGTTGCTGAAGTGTTTCATGTTGGTTGCCGGTTTTCTTTGAGGAGTCAATCTCACTCAGTAAAAGCAGTGTAAAATAACAAATGAAGGTTAATAGACTTGCAATTAGGTCGTGTTGCCAGAGAAGTTAGAACTATATGATTTAAAACTGAGACTTTGCTACAACTGCTGCATCTCTGCAACGGCAGGTCATCTTGGACTGTCTCTGTACTTTAACTTAGTTGTGCAGTTTATTTAGATTTCTTGTCTGAGAAATGTTATCATTGTTCACTGTTTTTGCTCGATAAACAGCTGAAACAATTACTCCATTATCAAGATAGTAACAGTCGCTATTTACCTGTCAATTGACTAATTGATTAATGATCGCCCATTCGTTTCAGATCTGTCATAGTTAAATCAAATAATCATAATTTAGAAATAGAATATTGACAAATTAAGATGGTTGGAGATACACACACACATGCACATAATTTCTTTGGCTTTTGTGTTGTTACATGGGAAGTCAGGTATCTGTAGATGGCACTCAACCTCTGTTTAAGCACGTTAAAGCTTATGTTATGTTTCGAAAATGTAAATAATATTTCTCGGCAAGACATCTGTGTTTTTTTTTCAGCGCTTGTCTCAACTTGTTCGGAGTCTCTTTTTCTCTATTAGTTCTGTATTGTCACAGTATATTTCTGACTTTCTCTATCGCTGAAATCCCAACACCTCCAAGTCACGGCATGTTCGGCGGGCTCTAATTAACACGAAGTTGCATTGTGACATGCCTGAAAGAAGAAGTGATAACATCTGCATATCAATGGCTGATATCATTCCAGTGATATCATCCTGTGAAGCAGTCAAATCAACAGACTGATCCTTGTTTGTAAATTGTCTCTTCAGTGAGAGATATTATTGTGAGTGGAGATTTAATCTTCACTCTGCTTTTCACAGTATGTACACATTATTTTATCTTGACACAGGTATTTTTGATATGTGTGCAGGGCTGTAATGTGTATGTAGAAGCCAACTGGGTTTTGGCTGATATTTGATAATTTTCCATATGCAATATTTTTCATAATATATACATATATATTTTTTGCAGTTATGTACAGTCTGCCCTGCTGCCAAGTCTGACCCACATTTCACTGCTCTGCTTTCTGTACATTGTACCTTGTGAAAAATAGAAGTTTGAACTGCCGCTCCACAATATCGTATATCGTGATATTTGAGCTCGACTGTATCGAGATACGAAATTTTGCATATTGCCAAAACCTGAAGTCAATACATACAAAAAAAAATATACTCACTACTACAAAACACAGTTGCAGCCAGTATCCAACTATGTGTGAGCATTTGTTATTCTTTTAAGTCATAACTGAATCAGAAAAACACATTTTTTAAACAATAAGTCATGTATTAAGTGTTGTGCAAAGGCGCAGTGGAAAACATCCAACAGGCAGCGGACTACATTGCCAAACATGTTTGCATGGTGATTGATTTCAGTGAAATACTGACAATGAAAGCCAACTTAATGTGACTGGAATGAGCTACA